ATCAGCTCCTCATTTTTCACCCCTTCCTCCCCGCTTCCCCCTCCCTCATGAACCCTTGATAATTTACAAATTATTATTTTTCAACAAATGTACTAAGCCTAATGGAGAGTACTTTGAAGGTGATACGATTCTTTTGTTTAAACAAATGCATAGCTTTGGGGGCCGGGGGAATCAGTTGTTTTTTTCCAGTGCCCCCTCATATATAATGATGAATACAATCAGATTGCTTTTTCAGGTGAGATGGGTCCTTTCATGTTGACATGACTGTAGATGAAGTTCTAAGTCAGAGGTCAGGACAGAATGACGAAGGCGTTAGGGGCCTGAGCAGCATCACCATCTTTGCCTAGAGGAGCCTGTGCCTCGGCCACCAGACGGCTTTTTAAGGTGGACAGTGAGTGCCGCAGGCGAAGGCTCTCCAGCAGGTGCATTTACATCCGATCCTGTGGCGAGCCTGTGAGGCCTGCATGGCTGTCCCTGCGGGCAGATGAGGACGCTAAGTCCCAGGAGTAAAGGGCAGAGTGCTCTGAGCCACACCCCAAAGAGCCCCGGAGCGGGGTCAGGGGAAGAGGGCGCAGCATGGTGCTCAGGAACCACGTTGGTTGGCTTTGCAGCTGGAGCGGAAAGATCCCTCTGAAGACAAGGAAGACATCGAAGGCAACCTGCTCAGACCCACGGGTGTAACCCTTCGCGGAGCCCATTTCTGCCTGAAGATCTTCAGGGCGGAGGATTTACCACAGAGTGAGTATGGCGCCCTCTACCTGCGGGGCGGAGGATTTACCACAGAGTTGAGTATGGCGCCCTCTACCTGTGGGGAGGCCCCCAACTGTGGTGTTAAAACACATGCCTGGTGCAACTGGACCCCATTCCCCCAAAGGGAAAAAAAAAAAGCCCAGAGGCAAACAGGGACAGGAAAGAAGGGCCACCGGAAGTTGGGACTCAGGGAGGAAGTGGGAAGAGGGGTGGTGCATTGAGGGGGTTGCAGCCCATGCTGTGAAAAGTGTCTAAACTGTCCAGTGAAAACCCAATTGGCTCTGTAGACGTTCAGCTAAACGATAATAAGAAGTAAAATCCCAAAGGATGGTGGATAGTATTCCATGAGATAATGGAAAAACAAAAAACCAAAAACATGTCGATAAGCAATCTGCTCTTACTGACTGTGACTAGGTAGACGTGAGACTGAGTGAACTCCTAAAGGGACTTCCAGAACTCCTGACCATGCGTTGATTCCGGCTCATGGAGAAGACCCTGTAGAGCCCCCCTGTGGCTTTCCCAGGCTGTGACTCTGCACGGGAGGAGAAAGCCCTGTTCTTCTCCCAGGCGCAGCCGTGCTTTCAGTCGGCTGACCTGGGTGGTTAGCAGTACGTCCCTGTGCTACATGGGGAGAGTGGAGGAGTTGCACATTGCATTGTTTGTAATGCTTTGTAAATGTAAATGAAAGAGGAAGAGATGAGTACATAGAATAGACATTTTCTAATGGTCGTAGACATTCGTCAGTGTCTGAGGGGGCTTCAAAAAGTGCGAGGAAAAAAATCTATGCTCTTTTAGATCCATTTTCCCGCCAACTTTTTGAAGGCTCCCCAACCTCATAGAACCTCACTGGCCTATGTACATCTACATAAAAACATACAAAGAGATGAACTGGGCCCGTCAAACATCTGACTTAGTGCAGCATCAATTCCAACTTTAAAAACCAGAATGGATTGACCAGTTGAGCGCTTCTTCTCCCTGCCGGGCTAGTGGATCTCAAAGCAAGTGTCAGACGCCCAAATGGGCTATCACAACAATGCCCAAGGCCCTTTCCAGCTGCTTACTGCCTTCAGCAAGAAAGGTTTCTAACCAACCAGCCAGCCCAGCAGTCCATGAAAGTCTTGGGGGAGCAGAGGGAACACACTGCCGAAGGGTGGGTGCTTGCAGATGGGGAGGCAGACTGGGAAGTGGAAGGAAGGGTTGGGGCATCAGGCAGGCGGTGACCTACGTGTGCCCCTCCCCAGTGGATGACGCGGTGATGGACAACGTGAAGCAGATCTTTGGCTTTGACAGTAACAAGAAGAACTTGGTGGACCCCTTCGTGGAGACCAGCTTTGCAGGCAAGATGGTAAGAAGCCAGGACGTGGCAGCTCTCAAGGGTCGGGGAAGGGGGTAACCTGCCGGGCGCCCCACCCTGGTGGCTGGGACGCAGGGTGGAATGAGGTGCACGCACTGCCCCCAGAGGTGAATGGGCACAGGGACAGGGGTGTGGTTCTAGGTAAACAAACCAGAAAGGGGCTGCCACTCAGACAGCTGTGGGCAGGTCTGCTGGGGTATCAAAGGCAGCTCCATACAGGGGGATGGACACAGGACAGACAGACAGGGAGGACAAGAGGCAAGGGTTTGGGAGAGAGTTAAGCAACAGCATCAAAGTCCTATCTCTACCCAAAGGGGAATGTTTTACAACCATTGAAGTGAATAACAAAAGCACAAGAATGCTTTTAAAAGTGGTGGTGGAAATGATGGGGGGAGGGCGGAGTGGAGATCCAAAGCCCATCAGTAGGCCACTGGAGATCCCCTCACAGAGGCGTCTCGGGGAGGAGATGAGCCAGTCAGGGTGCGATGTAACAATGATGAGAAATACAACCTTCCTCTAGTTCCTAAAGGTTTCCTCCCCGCTCCCACTACCATGACTTGAATTCTATCTTGCAAGACTGGCTAGACCAGAGGAGGTACACTGGTACAGATAGGAACTGAAAATACAGGGAATCCAGGACCGATGAGCCCTATAGGACCAGTGGTGTGAGTGGCGAAACAGGGAGGGTAAAGGGAGAATGGGTAGGAAAGAGGGAACCCATTACATGGAACTGTGTGTGACCTCCTCCCTGGGGGACAGACAACCAAAAAGTGGATGAAGGGAGACGTGGGACAGGGCAAGATATGACAAAATACCCATTTATAAACTATCAAGGGCTCATGCGGGAGGGGGGAGCGGGGAGGGAGAGGAAAAATGAAGACCTAATGTCGGGGGTTTAAATGGAGAGAGAATGTTTTGAGAAACGATGTACAAATGCGCTTTACACAATTGATGTGTGTATGGATTGGGATAACAGTTGTACGAGCCCCTAATAAAAATGTTAAAAAAAAAAAAGGTTGTGGCAGAGAGAGGTGCCTTCCGGGAGGCCTCTTTTCCAAGTAGGCCCCCCCCCTGCCCAAGGGCAGGGCTACACATTTCCACACACTCAGCTCTGCTGATTTCTGTGGGAGCTGGGGGGACGCCCTCTCATCTCCCTCTCACCGACCAGTGCTCCCAGCAGGTGTCAGGTCTGGTGGCCCTGCAGGCTCCACTCACCTCCTCTCTGTGAGGACTCCCTGGCGTGCAGTGGACGCCAACTCCATCCTCCACTCCGGCGCTCCATGTGCCCTCCCTCGTTTCACAGCCCCTCCGGCCTTGCTTCCTCTTCTCTGCCTCAACGTGCCCCACTTCCAGGAGTCTCCGTCCAAGGCAGCCCCCACCTCCGGGGCTGCCACTGGCACAGCTAGTGGGTTCTTCTCCCCTGCCCGAGCTCCATTTGGTGCAGAGCCAAAGATGGACGAGGTGAACCGGCGGATGTGGGTGTTGACTGGAAAACTGGACGTGGGCAGCTGTCGTTCTGACCCATAGCGACCCTGTGCATAACACAACGAAGCCCATCCTGCGCCACCCTCACCGTCGTTCCTGTGCGTGAGCCCCTTGTGGCAATCCATCTCCTTGAGGACCTTCCCCTTCCCCTGCCCCTCCCCTTTACCAAGCACGGTGTCCTTCTCCAGGAACGGGCCTCTCCTGACCTGTTCAAACTTTGCGAGACGAAGTCTCACCCTCCTTGCTGCTAAGGAGCACTCTGGCCGTACTTCGTCCAAGACAGACGTGTTTGTCCTTTTGGGGTCCCTGGTACTTAAACAGCGTTCTTCGTCAGCCTCACAATTCAGACGATGGATTCTTCCTTAGTCTTCCTTATTCAGCGTCCACCTTTCACGGCGAACGAGGCAGTTGAAAATACCCCGGCTTGGGTCACCTGGGTCCTCAAAGCAGCAGCCTTGCTGTTCAGTGCTTTAAAGAGGTCTTGTGCAGCAGACTGACCCAGGGCAATGCAGCGTTGATCTCTTGACTGTTGCTTCCGCGAGCATTGAAATCCTTGCCAACTTCACTGTTTTCTCCACTCATCGTGGTGTTACCTACTAGTCCTGTTGGAGGAGAGTGGACTTGAACCTGAGCTGGGTGGCCTGAGGCAGAGGGAGCAGTCCCCTCTGTTCCTGAGGGAGGTGGGAAGCCAGAGACTCCAGGTAGGCGGCATCACGGGACACCTGGATAGGAATTTAAACAATTAACACAGAAAGGCAAGGGTGGTGTTGGTTCTGGAGCCCTGGTCGGTTACCCAGTGAGCTACTAACCCAGAGGTCAGTGGTTCGAATCCACCAACATCTTCTCAGGAGAAAGACTAGGCTGTCGACTTCTGTAACTATTGAGAGTCTGGGAAACCCACAGACGCAGCTCTACTTTGCCCTGCAGGAGTTGGAACCGGCTGGGTGGCAGTTGCAAAGGAGCCGTGGTGGCGCAGTGGTGAAAGCACTCCACTACGAGTCGGAGGGGGGTGGGGAGAAAGATGAGGGTCTCTGGGTCTCAAAGGTCACATCTGGGAAACCCTCCAGGGCTCCAGCTCCGTCTGACGGCCTGGCTGTGCATTGGAATGGACACCACAGGAACGGCTGGGTTTGTTGCTGCAGTTTTCCAAGTCCTTTCTCAGTCTCTTCTCAAAGTATCTGGAAAGAAGCAGGGAGGGTTCCATCCCCTCAAGTCCAGGGAGAGGATCCGCCAGTCGGGTGGGTCGGGCTCAGAGTTTCCCTAAGAATTCAGCCACCTGGACTAAGCATACCTGCTCTGCCTGCGACCTGGGGCCTGGGCTTCCTTTTTTATATTCTTTCTCTCCCTCCCTTTATTTGTGATCGGTGTGTATCTATGATTTTGGAAAACTACAGAGAGAAGAAAATAAGAGGACCCGAGTGCACCCTGCAAAGCTTCTGCACGGACCGTCGTGTCCTGTGTGGGGGGTGTGGATGACGGCTGCTCCAGAGGGTCCCTTGGCTGGGATCTTCTCGAGCAAATCGCCAGGCCTTCTCTCTGTGGGCCGACCTTTCACTTGGCTGCCAGGCATTTAACCCTCACACCACTAGGGATCCTTATGCACATATAATAGACACACCCAACCCAACCCAACCCACTCAGTGCCCTGGAGTCAAAGCACAGCATAGAACGGCCCTCCTGGGTTTCTGAGGTGCTGCAGCTCTATGGGAGTAGAAAGCCTCATCTTTATCCCTCAGAGAGGCTGGTGGTTTCGAATTGTTGACCTTGTAGTCAGCAGTCCCACGAGGAACCACTACACCACCATATATATATTAGATACCTTTCTTTCTCTCTCTCTTTTTACCATCTGTGTTAGGCCGGGTTGACTAGAGAAACAAATCCAGAGACACTCATATATGTGTAAGAGAGAGCTTTGTAGCAAAGAGCAATTGCATATTGAGAAAACATCCCTGCTTAGTGCATATATCCGATATTAGCTCATATGTCCGATACTGGTCCATAAATTCTTCTTCAGACTCACGGAGCACTCACAATGATGCCCAATGTGGGAAGCACACAGGCCAGTGGGTGGAAAGTCTTGGGGATCCAGTGGCAGTGCAAGGATCTCAGAGCTGGTGTGGGTCTCCCCGTGGCTCCTCTGAGTGTCCCCTCTACTGGAAGGTGAAGGAGTGAGGAGTGTAGCCCATCTCCAGGGAGAAAGAGAGGGAGTTCCCAGAATCCTCATGAGAGGGCCACACCTACAAGGTGTGGCTTGATTGACAGGCTAGACTCCACCCCTAATCAAGTGGAAGTTATGAAATTTATAAAAGTATGTAACTACCACGCCCTCTATTGTGGTTGGGGCCACAGTTTCCAGAGCCCACGTGCTTTCCCTCCAAGAACTCCTGTCGATTGCATTTTGTGACACTGTAGTCCTCAGGAGATCGCAGCACTGCCCCTGAAGTCCTGTGTTGTCCCCGCCTCCCCCAGTCCTGTCCTGAGGTCAAAGAACTGGAGACAAGTTCTACCAACACCCACCCACCCACTAGTGTGGCCACTTCGATCTCCCAGCTGTTAATGTTCTGCCAAATCTGCCTTCTCTCTCTCCGTGCACATTGCCCGCCCCCCACCTACGTGAACCTTAGCTGCAAAACTGAGATATTTTACACCTAAAGTTACAGATGTTTTCTTTAGAGACTTCAGCACACTTTTGAGGGAGGGAGGAGAGAGAGAGGGGCGGGGGGAGGAGGAGACAGCAGGGAGGGAGAGAAGAAGGAGAGAGAGAATTCTCTCATCCACAATAATGTTCTCACCCCTAGGTAACTGACTTATAACCCTATTAATATACCCTAATGTTGTCTGAGACTGGCCCGTATAATTTTTCTCCATCTCATCTCCATTGATGCCTTTTAGAGCTAGTTTTATTTGGTTCTGACCAAGATCCAACCAGAATTCATCCTGCCGCTGTTGGGAATGCTTCCTCTCCCACAGAGGAGCATTTCTGAAGCGCCCGGGCGCTTCCACGAACTGCACTTTCCTTCCGGAAGTCAGGGCTAGAGATCCGATCCGATCCGACCAATCCAGACGAGCTCTTTTGGCAAACCTGCCGCCCATGCGATGCTCTGTCCATCACAGGGCATTTATCGGTAGGTCAAGCAGTCCCTCCAGCTGTCTGCCCCCCTGGCGAGTGGCAGTCTGGCCTTTCGTTCAGGGCGTCACCAGAGCTCTCTGCTGTGAAGCGTGTGCTCCTCTTGGCGACGAGCAAGCCCCTGTGCACGGGGATCCCACACAGTGTCAGTCGCCTGACCCCTGCACCCCTGCACCCTCTTAGCTAAAGGCGTGAGCATCCACGGACCTTGCCTGACTTCGTCCTTACGCCTGGGGCTGCAACGCGGTGGGTTTCCAACGATCCTTCCTTCTATCTTTGCCGCCTGCCAGGTTTGAAGAACGGTCCTCTCCCTGCGCCCGTGGGTGTGAGTAGGGCCCTTGGGGAGCCTAGTGGCGCAGCGGGTCGTGCGCCTGACTGTTCCTGTGGGCCCTGAGGGTGGTCTGCCTGACCGTGAGTTTGGGGTCATTCACGGGCACACCACCACCACCCACTCGGACCGTAGTTTTATGGATTCGTTGTGTTAGGATCTCATTCTTAAAAAAATGATTACGATTGACTGGAAACTAATACATATATCATTCCATAGTTCAGCCGCGTAGAGCAGAATGGTCCATTTGCTACCACAACCAGTTTCCGAACAGTTCTTATCCACATGGACGCCTTGATATCGTCTCCCCTTCCCCCCTCCCTCCACCACTGTATCTCCCCTCCCCCCCAATCTCTTATTCTACTTGCTATCTCTAGAGGCTCGTCAATCCTGGGCTTCATATACTGATAAATGAAAAAACATATAACACAACTTCAAGAGGGTGACTCCCAATGACCTAACTCCTGAGAAACCCTCTAATGTGTACAAACACCAACCCAAATAATGCAAACCAAAAATACAGACCATTCTGGAAACCAGATCAGGCCCAGCACGCTTCACAGGGAGGATATGCTAACCACGTTTTAAGGGCCATTGGTCTTCGATACTCAACTCGAGTGCACAGTGTTTAGTAACCACTCTCCTCCTACCCTTCCGTTGTGCAGAGGGGCTCACTGCAGGCTGATTTCCTACTCGTGTCATGAACGTATCTTGGGCTTCCATTGTCATCCATGGCCTTCTGCAAAGCAGATTCACACAATTTAGGCTCGGATACGATTCCCTCCTTCGACTTTGGCTGATACGCGTCCTAATCCTTTGATGACTGATGATGGTGTGTTTCTTCCATGTGTACTTAGTTGACATCTCACTTAGATGGCTGCTTGTTTGGAAAGACCCCAGATGCTGTTTTATCCAATAGCCGGCACCATCTAATTTCTTCACCATCTCTTGCTACAGCACCTGTCTCCTCTGTGTTCCCTTCCTGAGGGCAAGTATCGAGCAGGGACATAATGTAAGAACTTACTGTTCTTAAGTTGGAGCTAGGATTTTGTGTGAGCCCCAAACCATTCCTGGATCTCTGTTGTTGTTGCGGTTGTCCTTTGTATTTGACCTTACTTGGGCATTCACACAGATGCCCTGTCATTGTTCCGTTCAATCACGACATCAAGCAGAATCGTATCATCGCTTCCAGAATCAATTTGCAAACATCCTGCTTCTTCCTGGGTTCTTTGACATCGTCTCCCTTTTATGCCCCCTCTCACCTGCAATCCCACACCTTGGCATCCTTGTTCCCTTGCGGTCCTCATAGGCTTATCAATCCTGGGCTTCTACAACCAGAAAAACATATATCACAACGTCAGGAGGGCAGCCCCCAAGGACATAGCCCCTCTCATATGCATCCTAATATGAACAAACAAAAACCATATGAAACACAATGACCCTCGCTGGTGTGCTAGGATAATACATATCTTAATACAGCATATAGGGCACTGATGTAGCAAGACCTCATTTGTTCGCCGACTAACGGCTCACCGATCACGGTGCAGCTTTCTGCTTCTGCAGGTGTCACGTATTTCCTGGCTCAAGCCCTCAAGTTCTAGGTACATCTGAGGTAGAGCGCCCTTCACCCAGTGGCGTTCCCGCACAGGAGACCCGGCACTCTTGTGTTTGATGCACAAATGATCCTGACCTTGGCTCTGTAGGGACCCCTTCATGCCAGCAGGTTCTCCCCCCAGAACCCTGCATGGGGTCTCGGTGGGAAGGTATGTGGGGAGGGAACTCTAGTTTTGAAACTCACCCTCCCGGAGGTGCCTGGTGGGTGCAGGCTTTAGTTTGGGCTCAGGGTCAAAGCTTGCTGCCCTGCCCGCATCTGGCTGCAGGGGACCTGCAGAGGCTGGTGCAAGAAGGCGAGGGTGGGGTGGGGGTGGGGGAGCGCGTGGAGTGGGAAAGGTGCAGGCTGGACAGCCAGCTGTCGGGAAAGGTCGGAGTCGGGGATCAGGCCAAGGCAAGAGGTGACATTAAGCTGATTGGTGCAGCGATACCCCCATTCTCCCTCTCCAAGGAAGAGAGATGCTGCCAACACATTCCCCCTGGAAGCTTCAGCTCGATTGACCTTCTCTGGTGGCTCGCAGACCTCATGTCCTCTCCCTGGGGTCGTTGTCTCCCTTTCTGCTTGCACCACTCTCCCCCCCGCCCCCCACGTGTCATGGTTTTTCAGGACACTCTATTCTGAAGCCCCCAATCCGAACCTGGCTCTCTTTGCATTTCTTTTTATGGACACGTGGTGGCGCCATGGTGCAAGATGACAACCGTCCCTGATTTAGCCAAGTTCCTAAGGGGCTTGAAGGTGTGTGTGTATGTGCGTGCGTGCGTGCTGCACTGTGGAGGCAGCTGTGGCCGTGGCAGAGGTCTGCGTGTGGCAAGCAGCGGCCCGACCCAGATCTGAGGCAGGCCCTGCGGCATCGGGCATGGACTGCCGGGGCATAACCTGCACCGTCTCACGGGGCAGCGCTACCCTGCCCTGTGGGCCCCTCTGAGCCAGAATGGACTGGATGGCAGTGAGTGGTTGGTTTGGGCTTCTCATTCCAGGGCGTTGGGGGCAAGGTGTGGGCAGGGCCCCAGCAGGGTCTAGTTGAAGAGGCCTTTCTTTGCAAGTTGCTACTTGTCTACCTGAGTTTTGATTTGGTAAAGGGCCCCTGATGACGTAGTCGGTGCCTTGCTGGGTGCTAACCGCAAGGTCAGTAGTTTGAAACCATCATCTGCCCTTCGGAAGAAAGGTGAGGCTTTCTACTCGTGTAAAGATTTGCATTCTTAGAAACCCACAGGGCAGCCCTACTCTGTCCTACAGTGACACTCTTGGAATCAACTCGGCGGGGAGTTTGAGAATACACTTATGGTATCTGTGAGATGTTTAGTATAGCTACCTACTGATCAATGGATCAATCAATCTATTCTCCTGAAAAATCTCCCTCCACTCTGTCCCCCTAACCCAACAACCTGTCCATTCATTGTCTCTCCTGATCATTTTGGGCCAGTCTGGTTTCATTAGGCTCACACGAGCAAACATGACGATATTAAAGATTCGCCCACTGTTCCTAACATGTGGTGGCCCTTATGTCCATAGCTACGTGTATTGCTTCCCTCACGTAGTAACATAACCTGGAGAAAACGCTGTACCAGCATGTGAGGGGACAGACGAGCTAGACTGTGGTCATGGCCAGCGGAATATGAGAGGTCACTTCTTGTGGTCTTGTCACGTGGCGGTCAGACTGTAGCTTTTGTGAGTCTGCTGGGTGGGAAATAGCATCACCTGGTGGGGTAGTGGTTATGCATTGGGCTGTGATCTGCATGGTCGGCAGTTCGAAACTACTGGCAGCCCAGCAGGGGTAAGATGGGGGTTTCTAGTGTGAGTGTGTATGTGTGTGAGTGTGCATGAGTGTGTGAGTATGTGAATGTGTGTATGTGATTGTGAGTGTGTGTGAGTGTGCACACATCTGTGAGTGTGTACGTGTGTGTGCACGTGAGTGTGAGTGTGTGTGAATGTGTGTGTGTGTGTGGTGTGGCGCCCCCTGTGGACTCTGAGGGCGCAGTCAGCATGTGAGCGGTGGGGTTGTCCGGTTTGGGACAGGGCTGAAGGCAAGCCTTGGGCAGCTCACGGGGTTTGTCTCCTCCCTGACGGTACCTCTCGATCTGAGAAGGCGGGCATGACTTAGTCCTAATCTCCCACTGCCCGCCCCCACGTCCAGGGCTCCAGCCTCCCAATGTGGCAGGCAACCTGGGCTGATGGGCAAAGGGAAGAGCCGCAGGCTGGAGGCTCCTGGGAAGGTCCGTCTGGATGGAGGGGCTGTGGCCATGAGGAGAGGTGGGGGGATTTCCACCAGGCTGCCACATTGTCCTCCTCACCAGCTCGGGGCATGACTTACCATTGACCTTGGTCTCTGCCAGGTTCCAGTGTGTGAGCCATCCCCGCCGGGCCCTGGGGGTCTCTTGCAGGGATGAGTGGCCTCCGGCTGGTGCGGTGGTCCCCAACGGCCACAGAGTCCCTGAAGCTGGACCTGCCTGTCCCTTGTGTCTTGTAGCTCTGCAGCAAGATCCTGGAGAAGACGGCCAACCCTCAGTGGAACCAGAGGGTCACGCTGCCGGCCATGGTGAGAACCCTCTCAGTACCAGGGTCCCAGCCGCTCTGGGTGTCAGGGCCCCGGGTGCCTCTCCTTGCCCAGACCCTGAGCCCCCTGCCTACAGACTTCTGCTTGGAGGAGGAGTTCTCCAAGGCCCCGCCCCTGACGCATCTCTCCCTTGCCCCCAGTTCCCCTCCATGTGTGACAAGATGAGGGTTCGTGTCATAGACTGGTGAGTCCTGGGCACGGGGCTGTCCTGGGCACGGGGCTGTCCTGGGCACCGGGGCGTGCAGGCGGAAGAAGTTCTGTCGCTCCGCTACCTGAGGGGTGTGTTTCAGGTGGGCCGATCTTCCTGGGGAGGTTGGGGATGAAGGGGGTGCAGGCTGCTCCCAGGACCCTCGTCGGTCAGGGTGAGCGGGCCACAGCCAGCGGGCTCTCAGGGGTCCCAGGAGGGGCCGGGGCAACTTCCTGAAGGCACTCCTGGGCGTGGGGATCGGGTGAGTCCAGTGGAGAGAAGGGATCATGAAAATGGTTCCAGAGCCGGAGCGAGGGCAGCTTCTGGGGGGATGCGTCGTGAAGCCCCTGGGGGGCTGGGGGGCAGGGTCGAGATGGTGCGGGGCTGAGCGAAGGGCCAGGGTGCCCCAGGAGGGGTTAAGGAGGAGCCACGGGCGCTGTAGAAAAACAGCATCCTCCCTCACACGGGCCAAGGCTCCCCTCTGTGGCGTGAACTGTTAACACTCTGCCGGGAGCCACCAGGGTGGAGGCGGGAGTCCCAGACGTGCCTCAGAAGAAAAGCCTGCCCGTCTTCCCAGTTGCACAAGACACACTTGGGTTGGCGGGCATCCGAATCAACTGGGCAGCAACTGGTTTCTCAGGCGGACACTCGCCGAGCAGCCCCCTTGTGCCAGGCTGGGCGCCGGCTGACCCTCCGCCCTCTCCGTCACACTCAGCCTTCAGCTGGTGCGGCCTCTGCCTGACAGACGCAGAAGTGTGGAAGGCTGAGTGACCTGCCCGAACGAAGGGACAGGCCCAGGGAGGGGCCACCCCCCACCTGCCACTCCCGAAGCCTGTGCCCGTGACCCCTGGGCGGTGCTGCCTCCCCGGTGGGTGACCTTTCCCACAGTCGGAGGGCTGTGAGGGGCTGACACGTGTGGGCCCCGGGATCTGCCATACGTCATGCTTTCCAAAAAGAGAGCGCTGTCCTCTCTCTGCCCCCAAACAGTCCTGGCCCTGCGGTTCCCCAGCGTGTTCTTCTTTGGTCTCAGGCAGTTGGCACCCCCAACCAGGAGGCTAATGAGAGAGCAGGGGAAAACCCGCAGACCACAGAGCCATAGCGTGTGTGCCAGTTCCCCAGGCCTAAAGAAAACAGCTTGTGAGAATTAGAGGCGAGGAGAGGGAACAGCGAGCAGGGCCAGGGAGAGAGAGGCTTCTGGGGCCCTGACCACTGGTATGTACCGCCGGGCAGCGGTTTGGAGAGGGGGCATCCTTGACGTCTGCAGAACCATCTCTTCATTTCAGCTCCTGGTGTGTGTGTGTGTGTGTGTGTGTGTGTGTGTGTGTGTGTGTGTGTGTGAGTGAGTGCGTGATGCTGGCCGTGGGCCATTGGCAGGGTACGGCAGGGCGTCTCTGGGCACGGGCACACGTCCGTGTGTCTCCGTGTGCGCGCCTGTGAGCGTGTCCCTCCTCGCCCGGGCCCTGGCGCTGTGTCGAAGGCATCAGCGTACTGTACAATCCAAATACATGACAGAATCGGGCGGTTGCATTTCTGGTTTGGGTTGAAGTGGCGTTTTTATTGTGAATCTATTTTCAGACTTGCTGTATTTTCCAAAAGCAACCCCAAGCCCCCAAACCCAACTCTTGGCCAAAATGCTTTCTGCCGCTGCAAGTTCCTATCCAGAAAGTACTTTCTTCCCAGAAAAGGCAGATCAGTGTTTGTCAGTCCCTGGGTCCTGGGAATGCGATCCAGCCCCTGGTGGTCCTTTCTCTGCCGCTGAAGCTTCCGTTCAGTGCGTTAGACGTGATGTTCTACCTAAAATGCAAATGCCCGTCCCGTTTCATGGTGACCTTTGCACCCCATGGGGTTTTCCCAGTCGAATTTGGGAAGTCAGTGGCCAGGCCTTTCTTCTTAGTCCCTCTTCATCTGGAAGCTCTGCTGAAACCTGTCCAGTCCCTATAACAACACACAAACCTCCCCTGGGCAGCATGGGAACCTAGGTCTCCCAGAAGGAGGGCGCACACGCTATCACTGACCCCCTCACCCCTCCTCCCCTGCCCAAACGACCCGTGCCGTAAAATCCAGGCCCTTCCTCTCCTTCTACCTGGCTTTCCTGATTCAGAGTGCTCACAGCTCTGAGCCCCAACTCCTGCCCAAGAGCCAGCCCTCTCTGTTCCCTGGTCCTGAAGGAAGTGCACACCGTCCGCTCTCTGGCGGTGTTGATTTCATTGTCAAGTGATAAGGGGCTTTTGGCTTCCCCAGGTCTGGCTGATGCACTGGACCAGCATCCACCCCTGGGCTGACTAGTCACACTTCTGAAGGTCACCCCGTGGGCCTGACAGTCAGAGCCACAGAGTCAGCCTGGGGATGTGGGAAGGCAGGGAAAGCAGGGTTATTGGGCAGAGAGACCCCAGCTGGGCTGCCTGGGGCTCAGATGCCTCAGCCCCTGTACGCCCCTCCCAACATGCTCCCAGCCGGGAGAGAGGGCCTCAGGGGGTGTGGGAGTCAGAGGGAAGGCGAGGGAGATCCCCATCTAGCCAGCTGGAGTTCTCCCCCTCACTCTGTGGGCATGCTGGGTCAGGTGATGCTTCCTGGCCGGAGGACATGTGTTGGATGCGGTTGCGGCAGCCGTGGCCTCTCCCCAGTAGATACGGGGGTCGTGGTGTGTCCTCGTGTGCTGCTGATGCATCGACCCCCACTCATCTCGGCCCCAGGGGACAGTGGGGATGGCCACACAGGGCCTGCAAATCCTTCTCGGAACCAGATGGCCTCACCTCTCTCCCGTGTGTCCTTGGTGGTCAGCGGCCAGGCGCTTAACCAGGGTGCCACCAGGACGCCTCACACACTGGTAACCGCCCCCCTCCCCCCACTGCCACTGAGTTGGTTTTCGAGACTCTAAGTCTTTCTGGGAGCAGACAGCCTTTTCTTTGTCCCTAGGAGCGGCTGATGGGTTAGAACTGCCCACCTCAAAGCTAGCAGCCCAAAGCCCACCTGACAGTACCCCCCCTCCCAGGCTCCTAAGATAATTGCAGCATCCCCTTTATGCCCACAACGTTTTCAGACCCGGCCAGATGTCCCCTAGGGGTCAAACCACCCTGGCCAGGACCCACTGGCCGGGCCTGGGAAGGGAGCAGTAGGGCAAGGCGGGGGAGTTCCAGTTTCACATCGGGCGCCTGGCCTCAGATCCCAGCCTCACCTTCTGGGAAAATCACTCCACCTTCCACCCCTTGGCCCCTTCTGTGAAGCTGGGGGGATGTGGCCCCTCCCCCTCAGGGCAGTGGTGCAGATTCAACGAGCTGAATTGTGTGACGACAGTGCTTAGCACACAAAAGAATTCACTGACTCGAAGTCCATGCTGACTCGCACCAACCCCCCTGTGGGGTTCTGACACTCGAACTGTGGGCGGGAGTAGAAAGCCCAGTTTTTCTCCCTTGGAGCTGCTGGTGGCTTTGAACTTCCGGCCCTGTGGCCTGCAGCCCAACCCAAGACCCCTACACCACCAGAGCTCCCTCTAGCTCTTTGAAAGTGCTCAGCAATGTGAATCCCTGGAGCTTCCAGGTGAAGACAGACAAGGAAGGAAGGCCTGGCTGGCGGTGTGCTCCCAGTAGCCAGCAGTGCAGACCCACTGGGTCACACGGCCAAGCACAGTCTGGCCGTGAGGCGGGGCCTGCCCTGTTGCACGTGGCTGCCGCCACCACAACGCTGCTGTTGGGGGTCCTTTCTCAGAGGGGGTCTACACAGGACTGGTTAATCGGCAGCAGTGGGGGAGGGCAGATGTCTTCCCCTGGGTGGCTGGCAGGACTCCAGACACCGGGGTTTCAGCCTGGCTCTGCCCCTGCCTCCTCCGCTGACCTTGGGCAGGTCCTCTAGGGCTCTGAGCCTCGGTTTCCTCCTCTGTGAGGCTGAGGTGGGGGTGAGAGTACCTGTCTGTCAAGGCTGTTTCCAGGATCCTGTGTGATCCAGGAGGTTGTCACAAGTGTCCATCAAGTCGGGGACAGACTGCAGGGGTGGGGCGTGAGCACACGGTAGGTTGAGACGTGGCCTTGGGGGCAGTGTCTGCAGTCACTGGTTCTCTCCCGGACTGGGCTATTTCTCTAGCCCTTGAACTGCTCCCGCTGCCTGACCTGGCCTTGGGCCTCCAGCCTCCAGCCTTTCACCCTGATGCTGATGGTTGACAACTGGATGAACCTCCTTGGGGGAAGTGTGGGCAAAGCGCCCTTTCTGGTCTCAACGTCTGGAGGACCATGGGCTTCAAAAGCCTCAGCCTCAGCCCTCTCTGCCCCCTTGCTCTAGGGACCGCCTCACGCACAATGACATCGTGGCCACCACCTACCTGAGTATGTCCAAAATCTCTGCCCCTGGAGGAGCAATCGAAGGTAAGTCCCGCCCCTGGCCTGTCCCTGGTGCCCCAGCTTCGCCAGTCTCAGCCCTCGGCTGCGAGACTTTACCCGTGGGCAGGGCTGTCCATGAGCGTGACGTCTGGATTCACCACACCTCAGATCGTACCAGGGGCCACAGCCACATCATTCTTCATGGGCCACCTGAGCTCTAGCACTTTCTATTCTGAGCTGTCTTTCGGCGGGTTATTAATAAGTAATCCATACTTTAAAAAATTTGAAATAGAGAATCTGAAAGAGGAATACACATTTACTAAGGAAATTACCCATAAACTCACCCCCAGACAAGAATATACTGTCAATATTCAGGGGCCTTTCTGTACGTAAGGAGCCCTAGTGATGTCACGGGTTATGAATTGGGCTGTTAACTCCAAGGTCAGTAGTTTGAAACCACCAGCCGCTCCTCAGGAGAGAGATGAGGCTGTCTGCTCCCGTAGAGTGACAGCCTCAGAAACCCACAGGGGCAGGTCTACCCGATCCTACAGGGTCACTGTGAGCCGGATTTGACTTGATGGCAGTGAGTTTCTGAAAGTATGCATGTATGTATGTGTAGATGCACACACACATCTCCATAATTAAAAGTGTTTGAAAAATTGCTTTCTTCCAGTTGGCAATTCAACGTAGATGCCTTTTTATGGTATTCAATACGCTTTAGCAATATTAATTGAATACACATATTCCGCTGTTAGTTCATGTTGAAAGCTTAGGCGTTTTCTACAGTTTAATCAAGGAACTTTGTAAGGAATCATTTTGTACCTGAATCTTTGGACCACACATGATTTTCTTCCCGGGTCAATCACCCAGAAGTGGACGGCTGTGTCAAAGGAGCTGACCACTTCGGAAGCTCGTGGTCGATATGAAGATCGGCCTCCACGAAAGGTGACAGACTGAACACGGAGATGGCTCTGCAGCCTGTTTCCCGGCCCCCGCCCCAGTCCTGCAGGACAGAAGACCACTGGGAACGAGCCTTGGGAGTTTGATGGGTAGAAATGGCATCTCATCGTTGCCGTCATTCGCTCTCTGGTCGCGGGTGAAGCTGACCGATGCGATGTCCCCAGTGACTTCAGTCTCAGAGTTGTGTTTGTCCTCTATTCTTGACACTGCTCCCACGCTTGGGCCGTGCTGCCGTGGTGGTCCCACTGCTGTTTTCCGTGGTGTTTGTTATTTCTGCGCGTGTGTGCATGGGATCATTTTCTCGGTCGTAGACGTGGCACGTGCTTTTCTGCAATCTTCTCGTATCGTTGGACAGCTTTGAAGCATAGCTGTTTAATTTTTTTACATACCCAAATCTGTTAATGCTTTACCCAGTGAATAAGGGAGATAGACAATATCCCTTTCTCAAAGTTGTTTTCCGGTGGTACCAACACTGCATACTGAATCGTCCTTCCCTTGTCTCTGAAATGGTACGTTATCACCGACTACATGTTCTTTAGCCTGTTTCTGGAGTTTCTGTTTTCTTCATTGGTGAGTCTCCTCAGGTCTGGGTATCTGGGCTATGCTGGCTTTGTAAAATTAATTGGAAAGATTTAAAATCTTCTCCAACATCTGGAACAGTTTATATAACATAGGAATATAATCTTTTGAGGGTTTGAAAGAATTCACCCATAAAACCATATGGGCTGGGTGCCCTTTTGAGCGGGTGTAGTACTAGCTTTATAAAAACATTTTCAATTTCTCCTATGATCATTGTTATTTTTAGCCTGTTACTTTGTTTTTGTCCGAGTAAATTTCAGTAATCTATACTTTCCTAGAAAAGTGTCCATTCCATCGAGGTCTTCTAGTTCATTTACTTACTGTCTTGAAGACCAATCTCTCATAATCCAAACGGTTCTCTCTACCTGCCTGCTTCCCCTTATTCCTATGCGTGCTATTGGGTGTTCTTTCTCTCTTCCGGGTTAGCATTGTCAGAGACTTGCCTACTTCAGTGGGCTTTGCCAAGAATCAGTGTTTGTGTTGATTAATCAATTATGATATTTCGGTTGCCTTCCTACTTCTTTATCCTCTGTTTCATCATTCCACTCTGCAACTTTCTTTAGACTCACTTTGTTATTTCCATTTTTAACTTTCTAGCTAATTTCTTATGATTATTAAAAATCCCATCTGGGGTTGGTACGGCTGGCAGTCAACTGGGTGGCCATGGGCTGGTTGCCTGGTAAGCAACCACTTTGCTGGTTTTTGATTTCCCGGCACCCGTCTGCCCTGTCCTGCCCCCCAAGCGGTCATTGCATTTGACACTCCCTCTTAGGTCTTCTTCTCCCTCCACCCCCCTCTCTCTTGTCCCTTTTTTCTCCCCCCCTCTCTGTTCACTCCCAGAGCCTTATCCCCCCGCCCCCCGACTCCTGTGCTCTAGTGAGGGGGTGTCACATCATTTCCTGAGAATTTCAGTGCTCTAGTGGGGGTGTGTGTCATATCATTTCCTGAGAATTTCAGATGAACCCCTCCGCCCCCGCCAGTCTTACCACCCCAGTGGACACTGCTTTTCTCCTCCTTTATTTAGTCCAACACTCTCGTGCTTCTGTCTTCTCTGTCCTTCTGTGTCTGGCCCAGCCCCCTGAGCAGATTTGGACAGACTGGACCGAGCGCCCCTGGTAGTATCTTTTCTTCCAGCTTCTCAGAAGCACCGCTAATGATAAGGACTTTCAAACGGACACAGAAGCGGGGGCACTGTACACTTGTCTTTGGCTTCTAGCCCCTCTCTGCCTTTCCGACTTCATTTCTGGTACGGTTCATTGGTGGGCTTCACAGAGCTGTCTTCCAGCAGGCCGAGTGCAGTGTCTGGCCAGCGTCTCTTTGCCTGACCTGGGAGCTGCCAGCCCCAGAAGGCAGGCCCCTCACGAAGCACTCATCCGCTTGTGGAAACTGGACATGGAAAAAGGAAGACGGAAGAATTGATGTGTTTGAATTTTGGTGCCCGTGGAGAATGTCAAAAAGCACCCCGGCCTACCTAAAGAATGAGCAAACTCTGCCTCGGAAGAAGTTCAGCCAGCTCGGCAAGGCCCTTGACCAGCTGGGTTGGCACCACGGCTGCCTCTGGGGGTTCAAACGTCAGGACAACTGGAAGGATGGCTCAGGACCTGACAGGGTCCTGTTTTCCACAGGGCCACGGTGGCAGGCGGCAGCACCTGCCAGCAGCAGCACTGAGCACAAGACGCAGGTGGAACAGGTGGATTTGCTGAGACTGAGCGCCTGCGGTGGGGGCCAGCCCCTGCGGGGGTGCAGACCTGCCTGTTTCCTGACAGTTTCACGGGGTGACAGCTGCTGCGGTCATCACCCAGCTGACGGAGAGGGCTGACGCTGCCCAAGCTCCAGGGTCTGAGCCCCCTGACCCCCACCGGCCTGCATTGCTGGGCACTTCATGTCGCCTGGTGATGCTGTGGCCTGCGAGTTGATCCCAGGCTGTATGGACGCCATACAGCAGGGAGAACTGCTCCGTAAGGTGCTCCAGACGCGGGCTTTCCTTCTATAAGTCCTGCCGGATGTGAGCCACCTACCCAGTGCTTCTGGGGCCCTTTTGCTGCGTCTGTGTGCACAGCTTCATGGGATGGGCAGAAGGAGCCCGGTTGGTCCACTAGATGCGCTCAGGTCACGGGGAACTCAGCGGCGTGGAGTGGACTGGTGGGTGGTGCACAGCCTGGGGCGCCTGCTCTGGGTCTCCTTCAGCCTCCCCAGGTGAGTCAGCCGTGGCTGCTCAGGCCACGGAAGTGGGAGTGTTCAGCTGTGATCCCTCGCTCAGGAAAATCCCAGGGAAGCTCACCAGCGTGTGCCGTGGCAGAATGGTGCTGAGGAGTAAATAGAAGCTTTGCCGCTCTGACCCGGACCCTCTGAGCTGTCTGCAGACAACAGGGGCCGAGGCCTGGCCCGACACTGGGGCCCAGTGGTGTACAGGGGCAGTGGTGCCGGCAGCCTGGGGCCAGCACTGTGCCTGGCTAGGTTTGCTGAAGGAATTATGGAATAAAGGAGAAGGGTGTGCTGGGTCTGTGGCTGGGGACCAGCCTGCTCCTGGGCTTCCCTCAGGGCTTTGTGGCCCCCACAGGCCTGTGTTGGTCAGATGGCCACTGGACTGGGGCTCTGTCTGCCACTGGCTTTGGGGCCAGCCTGTGGGTGGGAAGTGGAGTGAGGCTGCCCAAGAAGCACAATGCAGGTCAGATGAGTGACCTCGGTCTCATTAGCCTGAGATAACTGGCTGGGCCTGTTTGTAATCATTTGGAAGAAGCTTACCATGGAATCTGTGTCCTTCCCGGAGACTGCCCCACCTGTCCTGCTGCTGCCACCGAACGCTCCCTCATGGCCAGTGGCCTGGCTCCTCCACTGGTGAGAGCCTATTCCTGTGGATGTGAAAATGGCCATGAACGATGGTTTCTGCATCCCCAACTTCTGCCAGCCAGCATTCCTGAGGGGGTGGGTCCCAGGGCCTCAGACCCAATCTGCACCTGGGTTTCACCTACCTTGATGCCTTCTGCCCTTGTCTCCTCCTCCTCCTCCACCTCTTCCACCTCCTCCTCCTCCCTTCTTCTTCTTCTTCTTCTTCTTCTTCTTCTTCTCCTTCTCCTTCCTCCCTCTCTCTCGCTCTCGCTCTTGCTCTCTCTCTGTCTCGGCTAGTTCTTTCTTCACAATGTTTTACTTAACTCTCAGCTCACGGCAATCATGGAACTTTGGGGAAACAGTCAAGGTTGCCTCTTGGGAGGAAGAACTCACTTCCATCGAGTCAGTGCTGATTCCTAGCGACCTTGCTGGACGGGGCAGAACTGCCCCTTAGGGTTCCCAAGACTGTAACTCTCTCCAGGAACAGACAGCCCATTCTCTGCCTCTGAGTGGCTGCTGGATTCAAACCACCAACCTGGTGGCTAGCAGCTCAGTGTGCAGCCCACTGTACCAGCAGGACTCCTCCTTCTGGGAGGAGACCCACAGTATTGGAGGGAAAGACAAGGAAGCAGCGATCT